TTACAGGTTGAAAAGTTGAAAGCAGAGCAAAGTAAACTGCCCCCAACCCCTCTGCTGGGTCGTAAGGTCTTTCTGGACCCCCAGGATGCCTCCCCGAGTCCATCCACACTCCCCCGCCTGCCAATCTCCCCTGTTATGAGACAGACCATCTATGAACAGAATGAAGCCAGCACTCCTCCATCACCCTCACCTGGCACCCCTACGCCCTCTCCTTCGTCTGCAGTTCGTCGGCTGGGGTCTACAGTCGCCAACTACACCCCTGTGATGAATGGTTCCAGCTATCGCCACACCCTGGAGGCACAGCATAGTGGTGTGGTGGGTGTGGCTGCAGGACTACCAAAGCCCGCCCCTTCCTCGATTGCATCTGTTGCCACGGCAGCCATGCTAGTCTCAGCCAACCAGGCGCGAGAAAGTGTCAGTGGGGCGAGAGACCAGGCAACGAAGGCGATGAGTCACCTCCAGCCAGTGCAGGCAACGAGGGACCAGGAGGCGAAATCATCCTCTTATCTACGGCAACCAAAAATCAAACACCTGGATGATGTGGTGACGCCGCTGATCGTGGCGAGCCGGCTGGAGAAATCGAGGGAGAGGGGGAAGGAGAGAGAGATGATGATGGGAGAGATAGGGACAGAGGGAGCAGAGGTGGCAGTGATGGCCGAGGTGGTGCTCCAGGAGCCGAGCCGAGAACGTCTGCACAGCGACCCCACCAGAGGGCCTCGGGGCTCCAGGACTGACCTGCTGGGACAAGCCGAGCCCCAGGCCCAGATGCACACTTACCATAAGGACCACAGGCTAGAACGCCAGCTATCCAGCGAGCAGCTGATCCAAGCACGCAGGGACGAGCTGCCTCAGGAGGTGTGGAGGGAACAGGCCGAGAGACAGGAAAGACGAACGCTGGAGAGACAAACATCCAGCGAGCAGGAAGGCCAGGGTGGCCACGAGGGCCGGCGGAGAGAGAGGGACCGAAACCGGCTTGAGAGACAAGAATCCAGCGAGCACGACACCGGGAGGGAGCAGTCAGACAGACGCTCAGGAGGAGGGTGAGGCTCCATTTGTCTGTCCTTGAGGTTGTTTGTCTTGTGTAATGTGCTGCGTCTCATATGCAATAATTCTCTAGTGGATTATTAGCAAATTTGATTGGAGGGACATGTTTTAAGCACTTTTTGGACTTGTGACTGTATCTGCTGAAGACTACAACTTTCATGAATAATGAACATTACAGTTGGGACATTTAGCAGGAAAAAACACAGATTGAAAACTTTTATCCTCAACTCTTAATATAAGTTTCAGTAAAATTCTCTAATTTGCATTTTTTCCACAGAGACAAAAGATCCACCATGGCAGAAATTGTAGAGCAGCTGCAAGAAAGAGAAGCAGCCCAGGTTTGGGATTTCATATGTTGTGCATTTAGTTCATATACAGTGTTTACAAATCCTCTCAGTGTTGGCGTTATGTTGGGTTTTCACTTTAATACATTGTCTTTAAAAGTAGCGAGTATGAAGACTTAATCACAGACAGAGAAAACTGAGTTACAGTATTGTTCAAAATAATAGCAGTACAATGTGACTAACCAGAATAATCCAGGTTTTTAGTATATTTTTTATTGCTACATGGCAAACAAGTTACCAGTAGGTGCAGTAGATTCTCAGAAAGCAAACAAGACCCAGCATTCATGATATGCACGCTCTTAAGGCTGTGCAATTGGGCAATTAGTTGAAAGGGGTGTGTTCAAAAAAATAGCAGTGTCTGCCGTTGACTGTACAAACACAAAACTATGTTGTACAAACGTTTTTGTTTCTAGGATTTAGCAATCCTGTGAATCACTAAACTAATATTTAGTTGTATGACCACAGTTTGTTATAACTGCTTCACATCTGTGTGGCATGGAGTCAACCAACTTGTGGCACCTTTCAGCTGTTATTACACTCCATGATTCTTTAACAACATTCCACAATTCATTTACATTTCTTGGTTTTGCTTCAGAAACAGCATTTTTGATATCACCCCACAAGTTCTCGATTGGATTAAGGTCCGGGGATTGGGCTGGCCACTCCATAACATTAATTTTGTTGGTTTGGAACCAAGACTTTGCTCGTTTACTAGTGTGTTTGGGGTCATTGTCTTGTTGAAACAACCATTTCAAGGGCATGTCCTCTTCAGCATAAGGCAACATGACCTCTTCAAGTATTTTGACATATGCAAACTGATCCATGATCCCTGGTATGCGATAAATAGGCCCAACACCATAGTAGGAGAAACATGCCCATATCATGATGCTTGCACCACCATGCTTCACTGTCTTCACTGTGTACTGTGGCTTGAATTCAGAGTTTGGGGGTCATCTCACAAACTGTCTGTGGCCCTTGGACCCAAAAAGAACAATTTTACTCTCATCAGTCCACAAAATGTTCCTCCATTTCTCTTTAGGCCAGTTGATGTGTTCTTTGGCAAATTGTAACCTCTTCTGCACGTGCCTTTTTTTTAACAGAGGGACTTTGCGGGGGATTCTTGAAAATAGATTAGCTTCACACAGACGTCTTCTAACTGTCACAGTACTTACAGGTAACTCCAGACTGTCTTTGATCATCCTGGAGCTGATCATTGGCTGGGCCTTTGCCATTCTGGTTATTCTTCGATCCATTTTGATGGTTGTCTTCCGTTTTCTTCCACGTCTCTCTGGTTTTGCTCTCCATTTTAAGGCATTGGAGATCATTTTAGCTGAACAGCCTATAATTTTTTGCACCTCTTTATAGGTTTTCCCCTCTCCAATCAACTTTTTAATCAAAGTACGCTGTTCTTCTGAACAATGTCTTGAACGACCCATTTTCCTCAGGCTTTCAAATGCATGTTCAACAAGTGCTGGCTTCATCCTTAAATAGGGGCCACCTGATTCACACCTGTTATTTCACAAAATTGATGACCTCACTGATTGAATGCCACACTGCTATTTTTTTAACACACCCCTTTCAACTAATTGCCCAATTGCACAGCCTTAAGAGCGTGCATATCATGAATGCTGGGTCTTGTTTGCTTTCTGAGAATCTACTGCACCTACTGGTAACTTGTTTGCCATATCAATGCAAAAGAACATCAAAGAATTAACAGTGATTTTCATTTTAAACCATAAATTAGATTCCTACTAACCATCACCTGGTTCCACACTTAGGCCCGCGGCGAGGTGCCTCGCCTGCCTAATGGGTTACCAGAGAAGTCTTCTCGTCCTGACCGGCCTCGAGCTCGGGACAGACCCAAACCACGTCGCCGGCCTCGACCCAAAGAGCCAGGAGAGACGACACGGCGGTCCAGGTCTGCTCCCGCTCAGAGCAGCCTGACGGTCCCCCAGCCGCCAACACACACTGCACACCATGAGGGCTTCCTTTTTCGCAAGCTGGACATTGAAAGTCTGAAGAAGAGCACCAATAGGTGGGTCTTCATGGTCATAATGGTAATCATAACATGGTGTGGAGGTGGCAGGGGTCATAGAGGATGGACACTAGTGTCATGAGTATCACACTTGTTCAGGGAAATAACACTTGTAAGTTAATTTGGTATTTCAGGAGGCAATTTGTAAACTTCTGGGAGTAACAGATCAGAGGGGCTTAACACTAATGATACCAACATGACTTTTACATCCCACCACATTGTTGCTAAACCCAGTTTCTGGTCTTTTCTGTCGATGGTTGTAAACCTCATTCTTCAAGGACTGAAGTCCAGAACTGTTTGGCTCAAGTTGGTTGCTGTCTGTTTCTCATGATGTCACTGCCCCCTCCATTTACTGGTTTAAAACGATGCCATGAGCACGGCTTTAGCATGCTAAGCAAGCACACCCGACTGGCACTGCATCTGACAGAGGGAACAGATGCATGACTGACGCCATTGTATGTTTTTGTGTCATGCATACATTAAGGTTTGCTTCCAAAACACAGACCTGATCTGACTAGTGATCATGGCTGTGCCAGTTAGTTAGAATAGTTTTCAAGTACATGAGTTTAAAAGTAACAAGACTGCAAAGGCAGACTAGTGAGGAGATGAGTAAACCGTGAAAAACTCTTGACCTTGTGTTGACCACAGATTTTATTTCAGGCATTGAACCAAAAAAAACATTGACTTTGGGACAAGGGAACCAGAAGTGCAAAAAAACTTCAGTTCCAGGTTTTAGGACTCACTACTACAGCACTCTGTTCAGGCATTTAACTAATAAAGAAACATAAGCGTGTATAACATAAACCTCTTACCCCCAGACACACTGGAGTATCCAACTGATAAGAGCAGCAGGAGACGTCCTTATTCTCATACCAGGCTGCAGCTTCTGAATATTTGATGTGTTGTCTGATTATCAGAATTCCAACAGTTACATGGATTAAAACAGGAGTTTGCAGAAATCTCACAGCATGTGAAAATGTCATGCATGATGCTTTTGACGCCTTCTGATCTGACATGAGTCCACAGAATGAAAGCACAACAGGCTGGCTGGCTGATGAATGCCGTGGGAGTGAAGGCTGATGAAGTTATTGATGCCTTGTGAACAGTCGCTTAGCCTGAATGCACACACATGTACACACACACACACACACAAACACTACCTGGCCTTCAGCGATGACTGCCCTGCTTCCTCCGGACACAAACAGCAAAGTCTGCCTGCACTGCCCTCTAGTGCCTGGGCTGACCATGCACAGCTAATGCTCATCTTCCAGCTAAGGATGAGTCCCACTCAAGGCAATGGATGAATGTTTCGTATGTACATGTCCTGTTATGTACATGGCAAGGTAAAGCATAATCCTGTATGGCTTAACTCTCCAAACAGCTCCTCGTATGCTCTCTTTGTGATTTGTTTGATTGGAGGAGAAGCTCTGCAGCTCAGCCCCTCAGACCTTTTCCTCCAGTCAGTATTGAGAAAGAAAGGTTAGTCTGAGAGGAAAGACTGAGACTGAGCCTGTCTGATAAACACTCTAGCTACAAGATGAGATACTGAGTATGTTTATGTACACACTGATATTCTGGTATTATTCAGAATAACCAAGTGTTCCTCATAAGATAAGATAAGATAATCCTTTGTTGTCATTGAAACACGTACAATGAAATTTTAGTGACCTCCAGTCGGTGCAGCAATAAAAAAAAAACATAACATGAAATAAATAACTTAACTGCTAGAAAAACTAAATAAACAACAGACCTCTCACCCCCAGACACACACACACACAAGGCACATTATATTTTAGCAGCATTGAGTGTGGTAACTGTTGTTGGGTAAAAACTGTTCTTGAATCTAGTGGTCCTTGATTTGAACCGTCTACCTGACGGCAGCAGTTCAAATAGTGAATGTCCAGGGTGTGAAGGGTCCTTAATGATGTTCTGGGCTTTTTTTGAGGCAGTGGGAACTGTGTCGTTCTTCCAGAGTGAGGAGAGGGCAGCCGATGATCTCCTGGGCCATATTAATGACCCTCTGGAGCGTTTTCCTCTGAGCCACTCTGAGGATGCTCTCAGTGGAGCACGGATAGAAGGGCACCAACAGTCTCTGGGAGATGTTGTTCTTCTTGAGCACCTGTAGGAAGTCCAGTCTCTGCTGTGCTACTACTAAAAATATTACTGTGAATAGTAAAATCTAAACACCTTGTTTTAATAAAGATAAAAGATTCTGTGACATGTAGGTTTGTGTATGCACAGTATGCTGCTGAGTTGTACCAGTACTTTTAGCACTCTTCAACCATCTAGCTAATGTAACCCCACATAGTGTTACTGGCACAGTCTGTGCAGTGTCGCCAGGTTTGTGTGTTTTCAGCAAAATGTTAGTTACCATGATAAATAGTGAGTGAACGAATGAGAAATGGATGATACTTAACAATGATCTAGCCACCTTCCACTTCAGATCTTTGATGGCTGTATAATACATTAATGAGTAGCTTTGGTCACTGCAGCTGTCTGTGTTTCATAGTACAGTCTAAGATTGACAAGAAAACTATTACATTTGTCTCACAGTTGTCAGCTTCTGTCTCAGACAGTGCAAAATCGTCAGTGGGCCTTTAGACCAAGCAGCAATCTCCGAGGCTGAGAAATGAAGCCAGTGTGCAAGTGTCAAACACTGCAGTTCCTCGAATGTCCACTTGAGGCTCTAAACCCGCCTCAGCTCCATTCACGCTCCACGTCTTGGGAGACGTCACAGGGGGTTTGTCCAGCATTTATATACAGCCAGTGCTTTAGTCAGCATCGCTGTGGCCCAGACATGTTGTAGTTGAATTCTAATGAAATGAATGGTTGGCAAACAGTTTTCACTTACTAGCTCTTTTCTAGAACGTGCACCATGATTTCCCCCTCACAGTTACTTTATCTTTAAAATTCAACTGTGATTGGTCACATGAACCTTTGGGTCTGTTTCTAGTCTGAAACTGTCATATTAGGCTGCACCAGTTGAATAATACCAGTATTTGGGTGTGAGCTGGAACAATGTGTGCATGTAAACACACTCAGGGAGAAGCAGCATGACCAGACTTTTAGCTGTGTTGTTGCCAAAATGCCATTTAACCAAACTCTTCTATCTCTTTTTCCTCCTCGGTGCTGCTGGCTGCTCCTCTCGTCACCTCCAAGGTAAGTCATGTAATGCCTCCACCCCACACAAACACACACACATGCAGACTGTATGTAGCCTCCCTCTACATCCCTCCATCCCCCACTTCCCTCCCCGTCCGTCCGTCTGTCCATCTGTGTTTGTTCAGCAGTGTTTTTCCTCCTCCCTTCTTGGTGCCGGTCCATTCCGCCCACCTACCTGTCTGCTCTGGTCAGGTGAGTGAGGTGTTAGCTTAGTGAGAGCGACTCTGTAGCTCTACCTGACTCCTTCCATCTCCCCCCCCCCAACCACCACCTTCCCTTCCTTCTCCACTCCCCCTATCCCTCGTCCCTTCTCGCCTTACCACACCACAGCAGGTCATGGGTCAACCTGTACTGCATGCTGAGCAAAGGGGAGATGGGTTTCTACAAGGACGCCAAGAACACCACCACGTCCTACAACAATGAGCCGCTGCTCAGCCTCTCCCACTGCCACTGCGACATCACCAATGGATACAAGAAGAAGAAGAACGTGTTCACACTCAAGTGAGTGGTTGTTTTATTACTCATGTTTAAAGGAGGGCTCTCAGAAAACCTGCAGTTTGAACTGACTACTTAAATCACATTTCCTCTAAAATGGGCATGTTTCATGTTTAAGTTAAATTCCTCTCCTTTCTTTGTAGAACAAAGGACGGCAGCGAATTTCTGTTTCATGCAAAAGATGAGGTGAGACTTTTTCTGTTTTTCAAACTAGTTAGAGGAGTTGTAACAGCAGATTTATTCCAGTGATCTTTGAAACACTTAAAGCATCGGTAACATGGAGAAACATAAACAGCAAACGACCAATCAGCTGACACCTATGATCCTCCTCCTCCCCTCTCCTTGGCAGGACGACCTCAAAGTGTGGGTGACCAACATCAACACCAGTATTTCGGAGCATGAGGAGATCGCCAAATGGGGTCATCCCCAACCAACTACCTCATCCACCGACGAGGGCACGCGCCGTGATGGCAGCAAGGCGGACAACAGGTCAGAGCGAGGTGCAGAGCGCTCGGACCGGCCAGAGAGGCCGGAACGGGCAGAAAAGGAACGGGAGAAGGAGAAGGAGAAGGAGAAGGAGAAGGAGAGAGGCGAACGGTCAGAGAGGTCAGATCGAGGCGGAAAGTCGGACACAAAGCGCTCAGAAAAGTCCAGTAAGAAAAAGTGAGCCAGGTGACATTTTGGTCGGGATTGAAGTGTATGAACTTCGGATGGGAGGCGGGGCCGTAGACTGGTAGTGAACGCCGCCCTCCTTTTCTCCACCTCCAACACGGTCAACAAGTTTGTGTTTGGATGAAAAGTGAGGCTCACTCATGGGACAGGAGTACAGATTTGGAGCAGGGGACATCTTTCTGTCTCTCTCTTCTGTGTCTCTGTGAGAACACACCGAGTCAGGGCTGCGTCCGGGCTGC